CCCCCCCCCCCCCCCCCCACCACCCAGGTGCTCATCGACGATTTCCTGGTGCCGCCGGATGCCACCCTGCGCCTGCTGGAAGCAAATCTTGCAGACACCAGGGGTTTGTTGTGCCCTAAACCCTAGACCCTAAATCCTAAACCCCTAAACCCCTAAAGCCTAGACCCTAAACCCTAAACCCTAAACCCTAAGCCGTAAACTCCAAATCCCCAACACTGGGGGCACGTTCCGAGAGGTTTGGGCAGGAAGCCTGGAATGTCGGATTTCTGGGAGCTTGGGGTGTTCGCTGGTCAGTTTGCCGGCTTAGGGCTGGAGGCCTCAACTCCCTGAGCTGGGGATTGATGAAATCCAACCTCTTGAGGCGCTTTCGGCAGGAAATTGCTCACCACAGAGCTTGGCAGCTGTGTTCAGGTTCTGGGTCTCGAGGAAAGCTTTTGTTACACGACTGGTTTTGACAGAACGGCACAACTGCGCGGCTCGGCGGAACGACCCCCAAACCAGAGTCCGTCAGGTGACTTCTTGGACGAGGACCGCTGCCGAATTGTGTGGGTTTCGGGCTCCCATTTGGGGTGCAGGTTTCATGTTCTGCTCCTTCTGGCTATCTGTAGGGTTAGAGGCTTAAGGTGCTGCATGGAGTCAGCTTCTTCTTACATAAGATCCTACAGACTGTGACTTGTGAACCGCTGGCAGCAAATTTTGGCTTCGAAGAGGTCGAAGGCAGAGATGAGCTCTTGAGGATGTAGTAATGACTATCTAATATCTATTGTCTAGTATCTACTACCTAATACCCAACATCTAATATTATGTTCTAGTGTATAATATATGGTTGCCATTCTTACGGCGACTGTGCTTTTTGGAAAGAATAACTACGAAGGTTGTTGTCCTTGTGCGAAGGACAGATCAAGTGGACCCATCACGCTGCAGTTTCGCAAGAAGTCGTGCAGCCTGTGATGGGCATACTTGGAGATTCATAGGTAGTTGTATGCTGTTACACGTCCCTTAATGTGGGTTATGGCTATAGTTGCCTTACTCCTCAAACCCACTAAACCCTAAACCCTAAACCCTAAACCCCAGTATAGCTACCCATGAGTTTCCAAGTAGGGCACCTGTACATAGCCGGCTCTGCGGGAACTTCAGCACCGGACCTCCAGTTCAGGTTTAGGGTTTAGGGTTTCGGGCTCAGAGCTTACAAGGTTTGCCAAAAGGAGGCCTCAAATCCCTGAGCCCTAAAGTCTAGACTCCTAGCCCTAAAGCATGACCTTCTCTGTCCTAATAAGACCGCTTTAGGCTTTAGGGCCCCAAAAGCCCCTAAACCCCGAAACCCCGAAACCCCCAAACCCGGCCCTAAACCCTAAACCCTAAACCCTAAACCCTAAACCCTAAACCGTGGCCCAAACCCCAAACCCTGGTCCTACACCCCAAAACCTGTGGGTCTGGAGGCTGAAGCCCTGCTGCGGAAGATAAGGCCCTTGCAGGCTCCAGTCTTGCTTCGGGTTTAGGGTTTAGGGTCTAAGAGTCTATGGGTTAGGGTTTAGGGCTTAATTAGGGTTTAACTTTGGGGTTTAGGGTTTAGGGCTTAATAAGGGCTTACGTTTGGGCTTTCGGGCTTCGGGTTTAGGGTTCAATAAGGATTGTCTCAGCTGTACGCAATACCATGTTGGCTACTGACAGCTCCCGGAGAATCAGCCCTAAACCCCTAAACCCTAAACCCCTAAACCTCCTTAATGCGGAGAATCCTAAATCCTAAACCCTAACCCCTAAACCCTTAAACCCTAAACCCTAAACCCCTAAACCTTATATAAACCCCTGACTTCTGTAGCCTCCCGGCCGTGCCGCCCCTGCCGTCCGCAAACACAGGCAACGGCAGATGCGAAAAGTTCAGAAGAAAAGGTGGATTTGGGGTTTAGGTTTTAGGGAAATCTAGGACATGAATGTAAAGGTGCTATAGTTCTTAGTGGGATTTAGGGTTAAGGTTTGGGGAAATCTAGGACATAAATGTATTTGTTGCGCAGAGACCCTGCCGCAAATTGAGAAGTGGGCTGTCGGAAATTGATGCAGTCGTTGTCGTCGTTTCGAAAGCATCAGAAAAGCCGGCAACAGTGCTAGGTATCGTCGCCATCAGAGTGAGAATCATGGGCAGAACCACGAGAGTACTGAACCCTGAGATGGCTAATTCAAAAGCCTGAGCCATTACCTGCTTGATTATGGTAGCCCTTTAGGGTTTAGGGTTTAGGGTTTACCCTTAGCGCTTCATATGAAAAGTATACCATAGCATACCCCAAGGTCCTCGTCTAATAATTGAGGCCCTGACGGTACCCTAAGATGACGGCCGAGGTCGCCGCTGGCCTCAGTCCAGACGATCGCTGAGCGGGTTCACGGAAAGTTGTAGAACTTCTAAAATCTTGTTGGTAGTATAGTAGTGTAGTAATCTAGGGCTCAGGTATCGTTTTGCTGGGTCTAGCGAGGCTTCGCAACCGTGTAGTCAGACAGTTTCACCACGCGACAGTGATGAATTCTTTCACGGGCAGAAACAGGGGGTCTGGAGAATCAGCACATTTTGGTCGAATACATCAGTTCCCTGCTAGACCGTAAGCGTTGAAGGCCCTAAGCCCTATTCAAATCATCCCCTCAACCCTAGACCCTAAACCCTAAACCCTAAACCCTAAATCCTATACTACTTCCACGGGCATAGTGTAACGACCGGTGAAGCTTGCGGACCATGCGCCTGGAGATCCTCCAGTCGCACGGTCGCTAGAATCGCATGGCAGCGGCAGGAGGGATTCACTCTTAAGGGCTTAGTGTTTAGGGGATAGGAGTTTAGGGTTT